CCTTGCCTTACCATCAGCCAAGCCAGAGAAGGCAGCTCCCCAATCCCTGCACAGCCAATCCTGGTCCCCTCCCTGCAGCCTGGCCTCCTTTAAAAGGTGCAGTATACAGGAAGGAGACCAGGGGACTGAGGACCTGGGCAAGCCTACAGATCAGCAGAGTCTTGGGCTGGGAGATGAACTGGCTCCAGCTCCACCATGTCCCACCCCTAGCAAGGATCTCAAACTCGACATCCCCAAGGCCCTTTCAGCTCTGACACTAGGATTTGTGACCAGCCCCACTTAGACCTTGGTGTTCTAGGGGGTTCTAGGTCAGAGCTCAGTCCTCATGGAAGTGTGTTCTCATAAAAGTCACTCAGTGGTGAACAAGGTGAGAGAGGACCCTCAAAAGGGACTTTTTTGTGACTCAAGAGTTTGCCCAGCCTTGTGGGAAGTATAACTCAGTGTGTGCAACCTCACCTCCCCTAAATGAATGTCAAAGAGCACCGAGACTCTCCTTTGCACAGTTAATCACCTATCCACCCATCCATCTGTCCATCCATTCAACATTTACTGAGCCCCAATCATGTGAAGGTGCTGGGGATACTGAAACCACCGCTTACAGCTCACATGGATAAAAGAGACAAAATGCAATAAAATGCGATCAGTGCAGACGTGGTGCAGGTGTTCAGACGGAAGTCCGCAGAGGGGAGGCACAAGGCATGGGACATGTTCAGTTCTACCAGGGCTTCCTAGGAGGGGTGGTCACACTGCTGAACCTGGAAAGGTGAGCAGCTAGGACTGTGCAGAAAAAGGAAGGCATCTGCAAAACACAGCCCCCGGAGGCCAGGGATTTCCAAACACCCCAGCCCTAGTTTTGGGCCCTCTGCAGTGAAGAGTGGTAGAAACAATACCAGTTGACTTCGAGTCAGCTCTGACTCATGGCGACCTCGTGTGTCAGCATAGAACTGTGCTCCACAGGGTTTTCAATGGCTGATTTTTTGGAAGTAGATCACCAGGCCTTTCTTCTGAAGTACCTCTGGATAGACACAAACCTCCAACCTTTGGTTAGCAGCTGAGTAGGTTAACCATATGCACCACCCAGGGACTCAGTAGAAAGAACACCAGATTCAAAACCAGGGGACTAGGTTTTGATCTCAGATCTGGTCCAGTTATCTGAGTCCTCAGATGAGTTGTCACACTTCCCTGGTCCCAGGGTTGGGGAACTCATCAACACTGGGCTCCAGTCACTTCCCCTTCCCAGACAGCCTCTCCCTTTCACCTGAATCCTGTTCAGCTCAAACCTCACACCTCCTCGAGGGCTCCCTGGAACTCCAGCTGTCAAAGACCTCCCTCTCTCTCAAATCCTGACTGCCAGGCCCCCCTGAGGGTTGGATAATTGCACCTGGTCCTCCTGGTCTCTGGTTTGCTGTCCTGCCTCCCTGCAAACCAGCCCACCAGCTCCCAGGGCCCTGAGAAGGGTGGGTGTCCAACAGATGGCCTTGCAGGGGAGGCTGAATCAGGATTCCTGCCAGATGCGTGCTGGTCACAGTGCCTGGGATTCAGGCAGGGCCACGCTCATGGTGCTCAGCTCTCTCTAGTGACAAGGGCCAGGAGTGGGGAGCTACACTGCCACATCCTCAGGGATGGGACAGGTGCTTCTGAATTGACACTACTTACAGGCTCAAAGTACATGCCAGATAAGAGGGCCACGACAGTGAGCATTAGGGAAAGAGGGGCTGCAGCAGCAGGCTGGCTACTCCTGAGGTGCCCTATTTGGCTGGGCATCCCATCTGGCCCGAAGCTGGTGACCGAGGCTTGGCTGTGGGACCCGGGGCTAGTCCCCAAGCCCCTTCTTTTTGGCTCGCCCCTGCCCCCCCAGAAAGAGTGCTCTTCATCATTAAGAAAGGAGAAGAAGAAGCAAACAAACATGTATTGAGCAACGGATCTGTGCGGGCATTTTGCTAAACACGTATTATCACAGGGAATCCCCATCACAGGCCTGCAAGGTAAATACTACCATCTCCGTTTTACAGATAAAGAAACCAAAGCCAAGCGGTGAGGCAGGCCCTCCTCCGTCAGAAGCCCCACAAGTCATTCAGTGTTGGTGGCAAAACGGTGGACTTCTTCCCGTGGAGGGGTGAACACAGACCACGGAGTAGACAAAGGGATTAAACAGGAAGTTCTGGCCAGTGATCAGGACCAGCCCGTGATGGCTCTGTCACCAGCCCCCACCCCCAACCAGGGACACTGAATACACTGCACAAAGCTCAAGTCTCCAGTCCTATTGCTGGGAGTCAAGTGGCATCGGCATTCGAGACACTGGGGCTGGTACCAACTGGTCCAGCCTCCACCCTCACTGTCCAGCAAACAGGGCCACTGACTGTTCAAAGAAAGCTAGGCTCGGCCTTTGTCTGGATACCAGAAAGCAGTGCAAACGGTCCCGAGGTCTGGGGAAGAAGGAAGGACAGAGCAGAACCCCAAATTCAGAGGGCCCCTCCCTCTCATGCAGTTTTTCTAAAGATAACAACAAATAACCTTTCTGCATCAGAGGCTCCTAACATTGCAGGATGGATATTCTCCTCCACCCTGACCAGTATCCTCTTCCAACTCAAGGAGCACACTCCTTGGAGGTGGGCAAGACACGAGTTTCTGGCCTGATTAAAAACCAATAATCGCACAGTCATTGACAGGGGAAAGACCAGGACATCCGGTTCTGGTGTGTTCTTTACACCAAGCCACAGGCTCACCTGAGAATGGGTCATTCATAGTTTATACATAGTTTATATGTGGTCCAATTCCCTTGCTAAGAAACTCTGGCTTCTAAGTGCAAACCACAATGATTGCCTCCAGTGGCGCCAAATAAAAGCAGCTGACGTTTATCAAAAGCTCTTTTTACACGCAGCTGCTGCGCTTGGAGATTTACCTTCATCAGCTCACTTAAACCCTCACAATACTAGGAGGTGGGTTCTGTCACCCTCAGTTTACAGAGGAGGAAGTTGAAGCACTGAGATGTTAAGTAACTTCCACAATAAGGAACTGGGATTCAAACCTAGACAGCTTGGCTCCTGAGTCCTCAGACCATCCTCGCTTCTCTGGCATTTCTCTCCAGAGCCCTGCCAGGCTGAGAGCAGCAGCTCAGGCAAAGGAGAGCTAGAGAGGGGCCTCCAAGCCATCCTCTACCACCCAGCGACCTGGAAGGGGCTCAGCACTACAGCCCAAGATCACCATCCAGCTCTTCCTCCTCCTCTTCCTTCACCTCCCCCTGCAGGGTTACTCAGCCAGCCAGGAGGGGCAGTGGGAGCTCACCAGCAGCACCACGAGTACACAGGAAAACTGCCCCCCCCCCCCAGCACCCACTAAATGGGCCTGGGTGTCCTTAGCTGTACATTCATCCACAGCTGTATTTTTATCTTCCAACTCATCCAGCTGACTAAAGCTCCATTTTCTTAGTACTCTCTCTTTTAGGAAAAAAAGCCCTGGCTCCAGGACAGGCCTGGGGGGAGGAGATAAGGGAGGAAAATGAGGGGATGGGATCGATCCCACAGAAGGGCCTGTGACCTCAACTTCTGTCCCACTGACTCCTAGGAGAAGTTGCCTTAGTTGGGTTTCCCAGACTGGAACTTTCCCCATCCGGCCTGCACCTCCTGGACCCTCCCCCGCCCTACACTCTACGCCAGCCTGCTTCTCAGGAACCAGGGCTGGGCAGGTGAGTCCACTCTGGGGCATCCTGCCTCTGAGAGGAGATCCGCTAATGGAATCAGGAAAGGCAGCAGAAGCCCCCAGGGCCTCATCGCCACCCCTGAGCAAAACTTCTGGGCGCTCAGCAAAGGTCACTCTGGGCCCTGGTCCACCGGCAATGCCTGGCTGCAGACTCCAGGGCAGCAAAACAGCGGCTGGGCTATTCTTAGTCGCTGCTCCACTGGGATCAGGTCTGCATAACAGCTGAAGGGCAAGTCCTCACCAGGTACCCACTATGCCAAACCCTACCCACCCCCAACTCTGGCCCTTGGAAAAGAGGAAGCAGGGGAAGGGGGTCGGGGGGGGGGTGGGAACTGAGCATGTCAAGAGTGTCTGTCGGGAGATGGAAGCTGATTCAGAATTCAAGGACAAAAGCAACGCAAGGGCTCCAGTGCCTGAGGCGAACTGGAGACTCTGGCGAGGTCTGAGCTTCACTCAGAAGAAACTCTGCAGGTCTCCAGGAGCTTCTCCGGCAGGTCATGTGCTGCCTAAGCTCAGCGCCCTAAGAGTCAGATGCCCAGGTACCATCACATCACACCCGCGTGCTGTGTCGGAAACTCACCATGCCACACGCGCCCCGGGAGGCAGGAGACGAGGGGGAAACGGCGGACAGTAATTTACACACACACACACTCCAGCCTCAACTTTCTGCCCAGAGCTTAGCCCAGGCCCGCTGTCCGAAATGGCTCAGTCCCCTTTCCCTTCCTAAATAACCTCCTCACAGTCCCCACGCCCCCCCAAGGGAAGCCGGCTCCAACCCGAGGACCCCGCAGCGTCCCAGCCGCCAGCCCCTTTCCCGTCTCCCCCAAGTCCCGGACAGTACGCGCTGCAGTGACACATCCTGCCCCTTTCCGGTGAAGCCGAGACAAGGGAAGAAAATAAACGCAACTTTCCAAAGAAAACTCTGAGGCGTGAGGCTGCAAGAGGAGCGAGCGGCCAGTCCGCCCGCCGTCTGGGCGGCCCGGGCTCCGGGGAGGGGCGGCTCCCCGCCCACCCGCCGCCCGGCCTGGGACAACCCGGGCACCCCTCAGCCCGCCCTCCGCGGAAGAAAGCCCAGCTCAGCGGGGCCCCAGCAGCCGGCCCGCCGCAGAGCTGGGCGCAAGCAGCCAAGCCACAGCCTCGGATTCGCGCGGGGCTCGGCACGCTGCGCGCAGGACGGCGACCGCGCGCCCCCATCCCACGGGGCGCCAAACACGCGACACCGCGGGAGCTCGGCCGCGCAGCGCCGCTCCCCTGCCAGCGCCGGGACCCTCGCCCCCGGGAGCGGAGGGGCGCCCTCATACCTGGCCGAGACGTGCGGCTGTCACCCAGGGCCGGCGCGTGGGAGCTTCCCCCCTCCCTCCCACGCGCGCCAGCCGGCAGCTTTTAAATTTCCAGGTTACTCCGCGGGGGGAGAGAGCATGCGCGCTGGGGCTATCAGAGGGGGCGGGGCGAGGCGGGACGGAGGTGGGGGTGCTGGGAGGGGGTATGGAGGGGTGGGGCTGGTACCCAAAGAAAGAAAGCGGGAGGTCTTGGAGCTGTCTTTGTAGCCGCGACCGCGACGGGCAGCCCCCGTGTGGCTCCCAACTGCTCTATCATTACCTAGGACAGTGCACAGCCCCCTCTGTCGCTGGCCACCAAAACATTTAGCTAAGGGCTACCCGGCTCCGCGGGGCACCTCCTCACCCCGGAGCCAGTCTACGATCATCACCCACACGTGCCATTCTGGGCATCCTCCTGTCTGCAGGCAGACTGCAACCCACTCATCCAGGACCCCTCGGAAAGGAGATGTCAAGTGCTGCCCGAGTTACTCTTCCTACTGTTCGCTATTCTCCAAGGCAAAAAGAGCTTCCTTGCCACGAACAGAATCCCTCTTCCTGCAGCTGAAAGCCACATGCCAGTGTTTTTCTCCTTCAGGATGTGAATGGGGAAGAGGGATGAGAGTTGCCAGTAAAATGTCCCCTCGTGTTAGCTGTTGAGCAAGGTCCCAACAGATCTGTTTCCAGGATGCTTTTGATAGGAGAGGAACAGAGCAGGTGGGGAGCAGAGATCTAAAGTAGGCTGGCCTTGGGTGGCCGGGTGGGGAGAACCCTAGTTGTGTCTTTTTTCCTCCAGGAATTTTACTAGGGTAGAGAGAAATCCAGTGTATGCGGATAATTGTCTTGATTACTACCAAATCCCAGGAAGATGGCTTTGAAGAGGAGGACATGGTTGGCTGCAGCCCTGTTCTGAGCTCTGTAAGAAGAGGGACTCGGCTGTATGATCTTGAAGGGCACCTCCACCTGGGAGTCAAAGGGAGGCAGAGAAGAAACGGAACTGGAGAAGGAAGGGGGAAACAATGGATCTGGGGTGGCAGTGGGGAAGAGAGAGAGGGTGCAGGAGAGAGCAGAGAAAAATCAAAACTACCCCTGAGTCACTAAACAAGTTTAACTTGAAAACTGTCTCAGCATTGCCTCCCTGGGAGCACACACACCTCCAGCAGGTCACCCACCAGGACCCTGACGGCCTTCCAAAGTCTTTGGCACACCCATCGGTGGCCAGTGGAGAAACTAGGCGGGAGTCCTGGGTCCCTGAGCTGGTGCCACTCTGCCCCAGGAAAGAGGGCAGGAGTTAGGGGGAATTCCAGGTCAGCTGGAAAATTACAGAGGCAGGAGCGAGTTCACGTGGTATTTTTCAGGCTTAGGGAGAGAACACTGGGAGCAGGAGAGAGCTGTCCCACCTCAGAGGAGTAGGAGCCCCCACCACCCTGACTTCTCACCAGGGACCTGCATGCCTTGTGCCTGCTGACCTGCAGAAGCGGGAAGGAGGGCTCCAGAGAGTGAGCAGACATCCTGATGTGAGGTCCTGGACCCACCAGCAGCCTGGTGACCTGAGTAAGCATCCAGTCACCCCTCCCCAACGCAGGTGACCCTTCCTTAACAAGCCAGGTGGATGCACTCTGCACGCCCTGCCCAGCACAGTATGCTGTAGGGCCCTCTGCTCTGAAGACGCACATCCCCTTTTCTGATGCCATAGCCTTGTGTAATAATAATAATAGATAACCATTACTGATTGTTCCAGGCGCTGTCCTAAAAGCTTGTCATGCATTAACTCATTTAATCCTTAGGACAACCCAAGAGATGGGTACCGTTTTCAGACAAAGAAATGGAGACAATCCCTCAGTCTAATCCCCAGGCCCCTCCACCTGCTCTCCCTCTCCCGCAGTCCCACCCTTAATCTCTGGGCTTTAGAAACAAGGCAGAGGCAGCAAACCCTCATCTAGCCTGGCCAGTGACTTCAGAACCTTAGAGAAAGTCATGAGATTGCCGTTTAATACCCTACCATTCCCAAAGATGCTGTGTCGTTGTGAGCAAATAACAACTTCTCTGGGCCTCAGTTCACCACTAAGTCAGCTGTTAGAAAACCACCGTATCCCTTTCCCATCCTCCCCTCCCCCTTTCCCACCACCCACCCACACCCACACCCACACCCCCACACCCACACACCCAGACACGCGCACACACACACACACACACACACACACACACAGACACACACACACACACCCCGACTACCTAGCCACTTCCCATTTACAGGAAATGGGGGATGATGTGAGGAGCAAGGCCATCCCTGGGGAACTGCTAATAGTCTGGCTGAATGTTGGATAAAACCAAAGATGCTGGCAAGGTGCATTAGCAGCGTCTGCCCCACCCCCACCTACAGCCGCTTCCCATTATCCTCATGAGCATCTTCCTCATTCTACAGAGATAAGATACCCAGCTGGGGCTTGCAGAAGGCTGAGAAGCCATGAAGGACCTGGAGTTCCCTTGACGTTCCCATCTCCATCATCCACGGGCTGTGATCCACTTTGAGGTCTCTTTGCTTCCTCCTCTGCCTGCCTCCAAGTGAGAGGTGAGCAGTCTCTGTAAGCATAAGGGCCGTCAGCAGGGCCAAATCTTGGCTGTGGATTTGGAAGAGATGAGGGTAAGAAAAGAGAATGGGTCCCTGGGACAGAGCAATTCCATTTCTGGAATTTCTCTTGTGGAAATAATCAGAGATATGTATGTCAGAAGTGTGTACAAGATGTTCATTTCATATTCTTTACAATAATGAGAAATTAGAAACAATCTAAACGTAATATAATTTAAGGTATTGGCTAAATAAATGATGGCAAATCCGTGCAATGGAACACTACTTGGCCATTAAAAATGATGATGACATAGATCATTTTAATGGACTGGGAAAATGTTCATATTGCCAAGTGAAAAATGCCTGCTAAAAAAATTGCTACACAGTGGGATATGTATATATTTTAAATAGGTACATACTGATTGGGTCTTGGGACAGAAAAAAAAAGAAGAAAAATATTAGTAGAAAAACTGGTGAAATCTAAATAAAGTCTGTAGCATTTTTAGTTAATAGTATTGCACTAATATTAATTTCTAGGAGTCCCTGAGTATCATAAATGGTTAAGCACTTGACTATTAGTCGAAAGACTGGTGGTTCAAACCTGCTCAGAGTTTCCTTGGAAGACAGAGGCTTGGTGATCTGCTTCTGAAAGGTCACAGCTATGAAAACCCCATGGAGCAGTTCTACTCTGCACACACAGGGTCACCAGGAGTTAGCATCAACTTGATGGCAACCAACAACAACAATATTAATTTCTTACTTTTGATAATTGTACTATGGTTATGTAAGATGCTAGCCTTAGGGGAAGCAGGGTGAAGGGTGTATAGAAACTCTCTGCATTATTTTAGATTTCATAAATCTAAAATTATACCCAAATAAAGTTGAAAGAAATTTGGTTTATATCTATAGAATATAAAGATAAGACATAACCAAAAGGTTAATACTAGTTTTCTCAAAGTGGCAAGGATGATTTCTATTTTCGTATTTTTATTTTAGTGGGGGAGAGTTTTTTTTGTAACTTCAAGTATTCTATATGGTGTATGAATTACTTTTGAAAATAGAAAAGAATCAATAAATATTATTTTGTCAAAGAAACTGAAGAAAGGAAGAAGAGTAATCACCACTGTGTCTGCCCACCTCTGTGGCATCCCACACACCAGTGCTGTTCAGAGGGGTGGTTGCGGGAGAGACCCGAGTGGAGACTCAGCTCTGGGGGACTCCTTAGCTGAAAGGATTAAGACCTCTTGGGTGAAGAAGAAGTAAGATGGAGCAGAGTCTGAGAAGGGTGAAGAAAGAAACTGGAGTGGCCATACCCACACTCCCCCTACCCGGAACCATGTTTCCACAATCACCCAATACTCTGAGCTTTGGGATGTTTTGTGCGGACAGTAGAGGAAGAAATTAAAACCACCAAAAGAAGTACTGGACCACCGCATCTTTAAGCATGACCTCTATTTCTTGAGGTCACCTGTGCCCCCCACCCCCAGACTGTCACTGCTAGATGGTGGAGTCCTGGAGTTGCTGACAAATGCAGCCCCTCACTGCACAGCTGGGGGCACAGGCGCCAGAGGCAGGTGGGAGCACTACTCTAATGTGAGTGGCACCCCATGCAGGGAAGATTTTAATTTTTTTCCTGTCAATAACTCCCCATTCTTCCTCCCCATAGCAAATGACTAGTCTACGTTTTATCTCTATACTTTTGCCAGTTCTAGCTGTCTCACGGAGCACTGGTGGGTCAGTGGTAGAATTCTCACCTTTCACGTGGGAGGCCCAGGTTTGATTCCCGGCCAGCGCACCTCATACACAGCCACCGCCCATCTGACAGTGGAGGCTGCGTGCTGCCGACAGGAACTAGGGTGGTCTCCTTCTGCACAATCAGCCAATGAGAACACTATGGATCACAACGGTCCTATCTGATTGTGCATGGCCCATGCAGCATAGGTAGGGTTGACATGAGTCCTTGTGATGGTTGATGTTATGTGTCAATTTGGCTAGGCCATGATTCCCAATATTGTAATTATCCTCCATTGTGTGATCTGATATAATTGTGCTCTATTTTGTGGTATTGTATAATTATCCTCCATTTTATGTGTCATAAATCCTGAACCTCTATATGTTAATGAGGCAGGATTAGTGGGGTGTATCTTGAGTCACACCATTATTAAAGGGCATGACTCAAGTCACTGCCTTACTCAAGTATTTGATATAATGGGAGTTTCCTTGAGGGTGTAACCTATATCCCATATATATGAATGCTCTGGCAAAGCACCCTCTTGCACTGGATCCTGCATCTGGCTTGTCATCATCTGACCTCCAGTTCTTGGAACTTGAGCCAGCAGCCTGCTGTGTCAGCTGCTGACTTAGGATTTGCCAACTTCTGCAGCCCCTGAGCCAGCAGCCTGCCGTCTGACCTGCTGATGCCAAAACCATGTGAGTCAAGAGAAGCCTCCAGCCTGACACCTGACCCACGGATTTGGGACTTGCCAGCGTCCACAACACCTGAGCCATTTCCT